CTTTACTCCTTGGTCTCGAAGGCGCCGACGTCGAAACAGTCGACACGGGTTACGTGCCCAGCCGCTTCGAAGAGATCAAGTCCAGCAAGAAGATTTTCCTGGCACGTGGATTGGCCGCAGATGGGTCAAAAGGCAAGGAGATTGATTTCGACTACGAGAAGGAATTCATTTGGGAATGGGGTCGAAAGCTTCCCCAGCATAGCAATGGCATGCGCTTCACTGTCTACGACAAGGATGGCTACGTCCTAGCCACAAACGACATGTTCAGTGTAGGCGGCGGTTTCGTTGTCAACGGTGCTCTTAGTATCGCACCCCAAGAAACCCTCTCCGCAAACGCCCCCGCTCAACTGGAAGTCGGAGATTCGGACACGGCAGCTCACCCGGCTGATTTGGCCGAAAACATGTACTACAAGGAAATCCGGCGCTCAGATGCCGCGGGAGATCGACGAACCGGTACCGAAGTCAAGGCCCTCGAAGAAGCTAATGAAGGTCCGACAGCTCTCCTCGGAGACTCAACTGAGCCAACCGGCCTCTCCGCCGATGTCAAGTCCGAGACCAAGGATACCAGCTCATCGCCGCATCCGCGGTATCCATTCCGAGATGCCGCTAGTCTGCTTTCACTATGTCGCAAGCACAACCTCACTATCGCGCAATTGGTGTATGAGAATGAGAAGAGTTTAGGATATACAGATGAGGACATTTACCGAAAGATCTTCAAGATTTGGGGAGTCATGGACGCTAGTATCCTAGAAAGTGTCCAAGCGCCAACGGGCTCCAAGCTTCCTGGCTCTCTCAAACTTCATCGACGAGCGCCAGCGCTCTACCGCCGATTGACTCGAGGCTTGTATCCTTCGTCTACAGCTGATACTTCAGCTGCTCAACTCGAGCACAAGTTCTCCTCGCCCGATCCGAATATCAACGAGGATGGCGCCGCCTCATCACCGAAAGCTCTCGCGGCAGCATCATCTCCTTTGGTGCCAGAGAAGTTCAAGGCCGGCGGCCTTCGGAAGCGCGGTCCGCCGCGGATACACGGTTCTCTGGATCATCCCATCGCTCCAGCTCCTTCACGCCGGACGACATTCCCTACCATGGACTATCTGTCTGTCTATGCCATTGCTGTCAACGAAACTAACGCTGGCGGCGGTCGAATCGTCACCGCTCCTACCAACGGCGCCGCAGGCATTATTCCAGCTGTCCTCAAGTACACCACAGAGTTCATCAGCGACGATCCTGAGCGAGATATCCCCACTTTCCTCCTCACTGCTGCCGCAATCGGTATGCTCTACAAGCGAGGTGCCACTATCTCAGCCGCTGAAGGAGGATGCATGGCGGAGGTCGGCGTTGCCTGCTCGATGGCCGCTGGCGCTTTCGCTGCCTGCATGGGAGCCAGCCCTGAAACAATCGAGCAAGCCGCTGAAATCGGTATCGAGCACAACCTCGGACTAACATGTGATCCCATCGGCGGACTCGTCCAAGCTCCCTGCATCGAGAGAAACGCGCTGGGCGCGACAAAAGCCATCTCCAGCGCCAACCTGGCGCTTAGCAGTGAAACAGGCACGCAGCGCGTGAGGCTGGACGACGCTATCCGGGCGATGCGACTGACGGCCAAGGGAATGAGGAACGAATTCAAGGAGACGAGTTTGAGTGGATTGGCTACGAGCGTTCACATTAATATTCCAGTCAGTGTTCCTGACTGCTAGATTTGGTTGTTTTGTAATCAGCGATAATCATCAACAAAAAAAGGGAGTCAATAGCGGCGTAGTATTGCTTTTCTAGATTAGAAGTTTCACTCTTTGGATCGTTAGCTGATTAAGAGTATCATTCTGCTTGGTGGGTATCACGTGCTAAAGGATTGATGTCCCCAATTCGTGTGGAGAATCGGTGAGATGAATCGTCACCTTGATTATTCTCAATTCATCGCGGATCTCATAAAGACCACCAGAGCACTCCAAACATGGCTCACGAACCTTGCCCATGTTGTTTCAATTTCGATCCTGACTTCGTAGCACCACGTTCCAACAATGATGTCAGAGTTGACTCAAAAGAGCTCGTAGTATTGGTACTTCGAGACATCGTACAGTTCGAGAGCGCGGCGAGTTCAGGTTGTGACTGTTGCTCATTCATTGTCAAGACTCTCACAATTTCGGGCCTGTTGGGGGTTGAGAATCAGATGGGAATTCAGCTCTATCTTCGACTTCCAATTGGACAAGGAAATCCAGAGATACTATTCGGCGATCCTGAGCGCTCGCAAATGTTCTTACAATTTTACACTGACTATGGTATGAACTGTCTAAACATTTGAAAAACCCAAACCCATGGGGCCGTACTAACAAACATATCCAGCTCAAGGAGAGACGTGGAAACGCGTTCAACCGTTACCAGATATCTGTGATGACCATTTATCACGCGAAGGCTTAAGCTTCGTCAACGCTTGTTTCTATAATTGTATTAAGGATCATAAGCTCTGCAAGCAAGACAACTCTACTTTACCAACCCGCATTTTAGATATTGGCAGCAATGGAGATGAAAAAATTCGTCTTGTTGAAACAGGGGATCTCAAACCTGAGAAATATGTAGCCCTCAGCTACTGCTGGGGTAGAAACCCATTCATCAAAGCCTTGACCGAGAACCTGGAGAATATGAAGTCCGGGATTGTACTTGAGGAACTCCCAGCAGCTTACACTGACGCAATCGCACTGACGCGAGAGCTCGGAGTAAGATATCTATGGATAGATGCGCTCTGCATCGTCCAAGATTCACAAGCCGACTGGGAAAGAGAATGCTCCATGATGGCCGATACATACGCCAACGCTTTCTTGACTATCGCAGCCTCGTCGTCAACATCTGTGACGAGTCACTTTTTACGACCTCAGCTCAAGCCACCACCACGAGCATCTCATGACCAGTGCGCGATCTACAGCGAATCAATGAGAGACGAAAAGGGGCCTTCAATTTTGTTGAAAGTAAGGCTTATGCAAGCAACCGGTGCTCATTGGATGTGGAGACCATCTCACAGTACGGATCAACAGCCGCTCGTGGAACCTCTCACTCAACGAGGCTGGACTTTGCAGGAGAAGATTCTATCAACACGGCTACTGTCTATATCCGCGATGGAGATGGCATGGACGTGCAAAGAGGCAATATTCTGCGAATGCGGGTCCAAGCTGAATCACCAACGTGAATTTGGGGGAACACCATTGAGTCAAATATCGCGGCGTGGTGAGGCCTTCAATTTCTGGCACAAAGTCATCGAGAATTACTCCAAGAGAAACCTCACGCAGCCCGGCGATAAGCTTCCAGCGATATCTGCTATAGCCGCTATAGTCCAGAAGAAGATCGGGTCAGATTACGTGGCTGGTCTATGGACAGATAACATCGATCTGGATCTGTTGTGGCGGAGACCATCAGCCAGTAGGATCCAAGCTGCCAACTCATCTTACATCGCCCCGAGTTTCAGTTGGGCTTCAATTACGGGAGAGGTCGATTACCTGTGTTTTAGAAACGGAAAATGGCCATATGAGAAGGCGGCTACTGCGCTGGAGGTCAATGCAGTAACAGGCACTGAGGCGCCACTTGGAAGAGTCATCAGCAGCAAGATGATAATCAACGGGCCAATGGTGATGGGGTATCTTGAGAGTCGGGGCCCATATGATTGGTACGCGGTGCGTCTTGGGCGGGCTCGTCTGTGGTTTTCCGCCGATACGAGCCTGTCGACAATTGTAGACAGCACTGAAGTTTCAGTGTGCAGAAGAAGCCGTGAGTACAACGGAAGCGATGTTGCAGAGGAGCTGAAGCGACTAAACCGAAAGCGGAATTCTGGGGATACACACCACCTGACCGAGCCCACCACGGGTAATTCAGCGATTCGATGTTGGGTGCTGAGACTTGGAGCATTTCCGTTCGGGGATAAGGGGCAAAGAGATCACGAGTGGCTAGTGCTGGGACGGTCAGCGACACAGCCCGAGTTCTTTGAGAGGATCGGTCTAGGGTCGTTGAAGGATAGTCAAGAGGCGGAGGTTTTTGAGTTGGAAACGATAACGACAGTTACCATAGTTTAAGTTGGTTAATGCAAGCCTCACCTTTACTAGTTGAGCTGATACATATGGACCAGGTAGCTGGCGATCATCAACCGCCACGGCGTACGGATACAGTACGTGATAGTTATCACGATTGTGGGTCATTGCATTGATTAGTGTACCCTTGCATGCATGGACAGGGGAGGCTGTAGGAGGAAAAGGAGCGAATTGCCAAGCAAGGGCGATGATGGATGGTGGGCCAGAATTGATTGAATCATCGACCTAGTCAGCCACCGGCTTACATTCCCCAAATTATTAGAGCTGAGACTAAGGTGACGCCACTGAAACGAAAAGGGTAGATAGAAGAGAGGGACAAAGAAGATGAGTGAGTGAGTGAGTGTGTTCTTTGCGTTTGCGTATGTGCTCCGTAATGAGATAATTACAGGGGCCAAAAACATGATGACACTGAGCAAACAGCTGGAGATTACCTAGACCCATGCTATAGTGAGAACCAACAACATTTCGGTCTGGTCTGGTCTGGTCTGATCTGGCCTAAACTCATGTCTCAGTGCAAATCGTGCGGGGTCAGAGAGCGAATGTGTAACATCTTGAGAGTTTGTCATTGGCTGTATCGCGAATACGTTTGCTTTTTGATCAAAATCTGGTTCTGTCTAGGTTGACATGGGCTTCTACTGTAGTGCAGTCAACCGTACTGCGCTTTCACGGGCCTGTTCTGTTCTGTTTGTAGGTATTGAGATGTGATGACTCTTTAATCACTCTTTGCGTTGGTCGGTTACACATAATTTCTCTCGCCATTTTCCCCTGCAAGAAAAACTCTATTGTCCCCCCAACTTTTTTAGTTTTTTCTCTTCTGCACTTTTGTTTCCATTCTGCATTGGCCTTTGTTTTTATTCTCTGGCGTGTCTCGGTTCTTTTTATCCACTTTTTCTTTTAGAGTTCTCCTTTTTTAGCGCACCGCCAGCCATGGAAGCTGACTCTCGGACCCAATCAGCTGGATTTGCCTGGCTTGAACAGGTCCAGGCCTTAGTGAAGGCCGATAGAGACAGTTGGCCCGTCAAGCAAGATCTGGTTCAACCTCGTCTTCTCGGAGAATTGGAGGCAAAATTCGAAACAGCCTTTCAAGAACGTCAAGCGATCGACAAGGACGACGAGGACGGCAAGGCCCAGCGCCAAGCAAAGGAAGACGAGTTGGATGCTCTCGCGACTGAGTTAAGACCGCTTAGGACGGACTGGGACCGCACGTGCAGGGATGCTAATGTGGCGTACCACCGCGAAGACGAGATGAAAGCAAATTCTCTCATCAACAACATCTTCAACCTTTATAAAGAATTCGACCTCCCCGTCAACGGCAACATGGGCGTCGACACATCAGCCCTAGGTCTCACTGGAGATTCACCAGATGCTGATCCGGACACACCGCCCAGGTCGCGAATGAGAATGAAGAGGGGAGGGGCGGTGCTCACCCCGGATCGCAATGGAGTTTTTGAGGTCCGACTCGATTAGCCATCGCTTGCTTACGCGCCCATCGTCCCATTTTGCTAACCATCATTTTACAGTCAGAGACGCGTAAGAGGAAGCGAGGCAGTAACTCGCGCACTCCTCAGAAGCGGCTGCGCATTGAAGGTACAAGAAATTCCATACATTTCAATGCCGTCTACCAAAACAGACGCGCTGCCAAGAAGCACACCATTATCCGGATCCCTGAGGACCCAGTGCGCCCGGCCAAGTTTTACATCTTGCGATGTGAGGATCACGACATCCATTTCGACGACAGTCCGCTACAGGCGGGTTTGGCGCATTTGTCAGAAAAGCATCAGCATCAGAACCCTTCATTCGAAACTGTTGTTGAGCACTTTGGCTATGAGGTTATCTGTTGCGACGATGAAAAACTCATTCAAAACAACAAAGCCGCCAAGGAAGCATTTGAAAGAGGTGAAAGAGGAGCGAGAGACTCCATCCGCGTTCGAACTGATTCGCCTTCACCTGAGAGACCACGCAAGAGCACCAGCAACGCCGTGAAAAAGAGCAGGTCAAGGCGGTCAAGGCGGTCAAGGCGCAAGACCCAAGACTCCATCGATCCTCACGACTTGGTTCCTGGAGATGTCTACATCATCTACTGGTCCGCGTCGAGACAGTGGTATGCTGGTTTGTATATTCCTCTGCAAGATCCCGAATCCGTTGGAATAGACGAATCGCTCGAGGCGATGGGTTTACTTAGCAACATACCGCCTTGTTATGAGTACGACAGCTCCAGCAAGTCATTTTCCTGGGCAGAGGGCTATGAAGATGGAGGACCAGACGCTTCAGAGCAACACTTCCCGTTCATGTTTTTTGAGGGACTTGATTTTCCTGACCTGAGCCATGTTGCTTGGATTCCTATCGGCGAAATCCAGCGGTGGGATGAGGACAAGGCGTTGATGATTGAGCATAGCGGCCAGGCTTTTGAATATCTCAAGCAGCGGCAGGCGGCTGAGCAGCCAAAGCGGTTTGGTCCAGATGAAGAGATTCCAGACTCAGCTGATGACAGTAAGTATACTAACTGCGTATGAGGTGAAGTTTCTGACATAGCCTTTCTATAGACTCAACGATGGATTTTGCGCCTCGGTCACCAGTTGCAGAATCTTCGACAGATTTCCAACCTGCTCAGAACGCTGAGACTGTTACACCTAACACAGCCCCAGAAGCGGATGCTGCTGATCAGGCCGAAGAAGCAGACGTGACTGGGCAGACTGAAGAAACGCAGAAGGACACCGAACTAGAACCTGAAGAAACGCAGGACACTCAACTAGAGCCCGAAGAAGTACAGGAAAACACCGAACTGGTACCTAAAGAAGTGCAGACCAACACCCATCCGGAACCCGAAGAAGCGCAGAAGGACACCGGACTGGAAGCCGAAGAAGTGCAGAAGGATATCCAAATGGAAGTTGAAGAAGCGCAGGACGCTGGACTAGAACCTGAGAAAGCCGCCGAGCCACCCTTGCAACCCGATACAGTCGAAGACGAAGACATCGTCATGGGTTCGCAGGAAAACCCTACCGAAAGCGCTACTCAACAGCCAACCGCGGACAGCGAGGATATTGTGATGGAAACTCCGGAAGATGCGACCCAGGAACCTCTACAGCAGAACGACTCTCAGTCTGATGGGGATGATCAGGAAATTATTCTTGATACTCAAGAAGATCCAGCCGAGAACGTCTCGTCCCCAAAGGAGCCGGAAGAAGTCAGCACTGAACGAGAAGAGGAAAGCTGGCCTCACGAAGCAAGAGAAGAACGTCTATCCAGTGCCGACTTGGAGGACCTCCTACTCGAAGGCGAGGACTTGGAGTTGCAGTTTTCACAGTCTGAACAGAGGGAACTCGATCAAGACCCGACACCTACACCTGCCCTTGAGACAATCAGTCTTTCTCGAGCAGCAAATGACGTCGTCAGCGCGAAACAGGAACAAAGTTCGTCAACCTCGCCTGCACTCTCGAGAACAAGTCTTGCCCAAGCGGAAAATAACTCTGATGATGAGACACGGGAGGATAGTCAGCCTCAGCGGTCTTCTGTCGCCACGGAATCTTCTCACGATGAAACTCCACAGCCACGCCTTTCTTACGCCGATATGGGTCGAGCTTCTTCCTTGTCAGAGGGCCTGTCAAGCGATGTGGTTGATTCACGGCCGCAGATTCAACCTGCTTCGAGACGGGCTCGATCAGGGACACCGAATCATAACGCACTCGCTGCGCAGTCACGAATGTCATCGCTATCACAATCGCCTGTTGTATCTCGTCCACCCGCAATGTCGCCGCCTGCGACAATACCGTTCTCATCGGCATTGCCGCCAATATCGACGGCTTTACAGCTGCCAATGATGTCGCAGTCTCCAACTACTTCTCAGCCATCAGTACCACGATCACCAACACGGCAACGCCCGTCTACAGGGTTACAGCACCCGGTCTCATCGTGGCCACTGGATAATTCATGGGCATCGACGACACCACAGCGATCAGGAGCATCACAATCTTCGGCTCTAGCGCGTCGACCCGCACCATCTCAGCCTCCAGTAACCAGGTCTCCGACATCATCCCGCCCCCCTTCATCTCAACCATCGACTTCGGAGCCCCCGCTCCATGCCCCAACAGCGCAAGAGCGGCCCGCAGCGCAAGTAGTAATGTCTCCTGGACCTGCTGTGTCTAACAGCGAACAGCCAAACAACGCACGGCCGACTTCGCAGACATCGCAGATCCTGGCACCTCCCCGCCCCTCACCGGTAGGGAATCCCCCGCCAGAAGATGCTCAGACACGCTCTGAAGTCTTGAGACATCCTCATGCAGCTCAGCCCAAAGCATCTTCACAGGCCTTGGTCAACAGTCTCCAACCTAGCGAACCTCCACATGCGACAAAGCCCAAGGCATCATCCAACCCTTCAGTTGATATTGTTTTGCTCAACCATCAAGCAGTCAGTGAAGCGCGGTCACAGCCCATGACATCTGGACAGCAAGCAGCGACGAACAGTCCTACACAAATGCCAGAAGCTCATCAAAGACATTCAGAAACGCCGCCCGTTACGTCTCCTGCCAGACCTGAAGTTCCAGCTCCGCGCCGCCCGCTCCCTCGGGAGAGACCGTCACCTAGACCGCCAGCTTCACCAGCAAAGAGCTACGGAACCCCCCAGGCCATGCCGTCACAAAACCAGGCTCTCAGTGCTACTTCCCAACATCCCTCTTTTGCCGAGAACACTCCAGCAGCTCAGCCAGAGCGACCAGAACAGATACTCTTTCGTCAGCCACCTGCCAGATATGTTTCTCGACCTACTTCCCCGGCAACCCAAAACTCACCCCGCTTGCCGCCTATGGTTGTTCCCGAGCCCGCTTCGCAACTGGATGGACACTATCTCCCCAATACCATGTTAGCGCAACAACAGGCTGCCTTTTCGATGTGTCGACCTGGTTCTGCTGGACGTACTGGGCCACAGCCAGTGCCTTCTCCTAGTCACGCCGTGGCGGAAGCCCACCGACCTGGTTCTGCATCCCAAGGGCACATTGGATCACAGGCTATGCCTTCTCCTCGTCAGTCTGCTATGTCTATATCGCGACCTGGCTCTGCATTGCAAGGGAACGTTGCATCACAGCCATACGCGTCACCACGACAAGCTTCAAATGAAGTCCCTCGTCCTTCTTCGGCTTACTCAGGTCATCCAGAATCACAGCCAATGCATTCTCCTCATCAAGCAGCGACCGGAATTCAGCCATCACAGTCTGGTTTTCAAGGGCATCCTGCTTCACAGCTGATGCACTCTCCTCGACAAGTTCCTAGGGAAATCCCTCACCCTGCTTCAGCCTATCAAGGGCATCCAAATCATCGTCCTGTTTCATCACCGCGGGGTCCCTATGCTGTTCCAGTGCGGCCGCCGGGACCGCCTCACCATTCTTTCAGTCACTTTTCGCATCAAAGCCATGAGATGCAGGGACAGGGCTATATTCCCCAGCGTCATTGTCCACCAACAGGGACCGCCTCACCGCAATTTCCGGGAATAGAAAACCAATTGCCACCCATACGGTTATCAAACATCTCTCGTCCTCGATCTGGAGCCCAGACAGCTCCAAACATGATCTCACCGCCGCAGACCGCCGTGGGGGGCCTTCCAGGACATTATATGGGACATCAACAGCCTGCGCCGCATATCATGCAATCGCCGCGCCTATCTGCGGCCGAAATCTCTCGACCGCGCACGACAAGCAACATGAACCCTCCCCTTTCCACGATGTCACCAATCCTAGGACACACAGAACCGCGTAGGCCAAACTCAAGCTACGCCCAAAGTATACCTTTTCACGCACCCTTGCCCACAATGCTGCCAACTTATTCGAACACAAGCTACCAGTCCTCGGCACCATCTGCACATCAATACGCCCAACCTAACCCTTCTCAAGCTCACTCTCGAAGACATTCCGAAAGCGCTTGCCAACCCCAACTACAGCAGTATGCACTCGCAGGCAGCCCGCAGATATCAAACTCTACACCAAGGTCCTATCAGCCGCCTGAGCTCGATCAGGGTCTGAGACGTAATCCGGCTCTGGACCCCTTCCTCCCTGAGCTCTCTCCCAATGTTCGTAAGGCATTTCTGGAGCAAGTTCGAACAGACAGACCTGATATTATTCCCAGCGATTTTCTCAACATCGAAAACAGATATCGATGCCCTTTTTGCAAAGAAACGACTCTGGAACCAACAGAGTTTATCGATCACCTCAAGATGAGCTGTCCAATGCTGAAGGAGAAGTATAAGCAGGACAAGCATGAGAATGTCTTTGAAGCGAATCGAACCAAGCGAGCCAAGCAAACTAAGAGAAAGAGTCAGACTGCCCAGGCAAAGAAGAATGCTCGAGTTCGTAGTTGATTTGTTTATTATTGATGTGATTGTCGTACTCGATATCACTTTGCGAGTCTGGAAGGGGTGTCATGGAAATTTGCTGAAGCATCTCATCGCTTTTAATTAGTTCAGCCGCGAGCCAGTATGTGTATTTCTAGTTATTCAAAAGGCATATCCTTCATCCGAGGCTCTGGGCTAGCTTTGAGAGGCGTATGAAAAAAGACTTATGGAAGTCTCGAATGAAGTCCGGCGAAGACTTGACACCAGTCTTATGGATCAACAGTTAACATAAGTACTCTAGAGTTGGCAATTTATCATGTATTAGTTCTCATAACACAATCGTCCCTGCCATCGTGACTACGTTTTCATCAATCAGTGATTTACCGCAGTGCTACTCATCCCACAAAGGAAACCATGCTCCTGGTTATTACGCGTCTAGACTCTCATGGATACACTTGGTTATCACCGGAATGAAATAGGGAGTGAAAGCTTTCCTAGTCACTCGTCATCCGAAAGCCAATGCTGTCATTTTGAGTACAGGAGATTTTGCTAGGATATTCTATTATAAACACTAATTGGCTAGAGATAAGTCATTGTGTCCCATGATTTGGCGTCCCAACATCGCACATCATCGTCACACGAGATGCAGTCACATCATTCACCGCCTTCACTTCTCGTCTGTTTTTGCGATATTCACTTCTCCGCCCTCAATACCAACAGCGTCGAAGCCCATTTGCGCAGTATCGTATCCATTGGCTTGGAGGTATTCGCGGAACTTTTGATCTTCAACAGTGATGGTGTCTTGGCCAACGTGGGGGATACAGAAGAATACGATGAGGGCTGAGAGGATGCAGAGACTCGATGAGACCCAAAAGGGATATTGGGCAGACTCAGTTTTGTTTCCTCCAGCGGCTTGGATGTAGGGGAACACATAGGTACCGACAAACGCACCAATCTTGCCAACCGCAGCGGCGATACCATAGTATCGGCCACGGACACCAGTGGCACAAGTCTTTGCAGCGAGAAGACCGATGTTGTTTCCGGGACCAAGTTCACCAAGGGCTTGGAAGATTCCGAAGACGACAGCAAAAGCCGCGATTTGGGTGGAAATCTTGTCGTAGACACCGGCCATGATAAAACCGACAATGGCTTGGAGAGTAACACCGAGGATGAGGGTGTACCGAGGGCCGATCCAGTCACTGACAAATGCACCGATAAGAGTACCCGGCAGATAAAACATGTTGATGACAGTGTTCCAGCCAAACACTGTGGTTAGGTTTGCGCCGTCGCCGTAGATACCGGCAAGAATCGAGGAGGAGTAGATACCGAAGGCGTAGGAGGAGAACTTGTCACGTAAGCAGATGATAAACCGAAGTGCCTTGGAAACTTACATTGTAGAGGAACCAAACCAGACTGACGCAGAGGAGTCGGAACCAGTAGTAGCGCAGAACCAGCGAGTATGGTGTTTGGCGTCTCATCGACTCCTTGGCGAACTCCTCAGGCTCCTTGAGTCGAAGTCGAAGTACGAACAGGACAAGAGGGAAGACGACTCCGATGCCGAGACTGGTTCTCCAGATGGTGCTGTAGTGGCCGTTATGGCATGCGGCGGCAACAACGTCTGATGAAAGTTAGCCACAGCCGGATTAAGCTTGGGGTTTGACATACAAGGCACGAAAGCGCCAATAACGAAGCCAAAGTCAATCATTGAGTTTGTGAAGAGAATGAACCAACGGTTTCGGGTCCCCTTCTTCATCTGACCACTGGACTCGGCGCATCCAACGCTACCAGCTGGATATTCACCTTTGAAGCATTAGTATCACACCATCACTCAAGAGCAGAGAAATTCCTACCTCCAATACCGATACCAACGAAGAATCGCCAGGCAGTCAACATGTTGAACATTCCGACTGCCTGGCCATGCCAGTAGGATCCAGCTGCCAGAGCAGTGAAAATGATGAGAATGACAGTTGAGACCATGAGCGTATTGGTTCGCGACCAATGATCAGCGAGGAAACCAAAGACAAGTTGGCCGACGACTGTTCCAGCGAAGGCGATGTCAGACACGTATTTGAAAGCATTCGAGTTGGCATAGACATCTCCGTATTGTCGTTTCAAGGTGGTGTTGACGGAACCAATGACCTACTCACGTTAGAAAATGAAGCATAGGATAGTCACAGCAGCTCTCACGTTGTTGATGTAGCCATCTGAGAAGAGACCAGCACCGCAAGCAAACACTGGGAGGGCAGTCTCAATCCAAGGCCTTTGAGGGATGTCGTCTTGAGGTATGTGCACTTCATCATGAGGGGCTTCATCAGAGGCATCACCCTCATGTTTCTTCCCAAACCCCAGCATCGTGGATGCACAAGGGTGTATTGATCACAGATGATAAGGTTTTGTTGTCGTGGGTAAGAGTGCACGCCTAGTCACTGTTATAAGAGGGGGGAGCAAAAGCCAAGGTCACGTTCAGATCGACAAAAACGCCAAAGTTTGGTGATGCCTCGGGTAAGAAACAAACAAACAAACGAGAAATTGACTCGGTGTCACAGGATTTCTAGAATTTAAGAGAAAACAGGGGGGACAATCGTGGTGGATCAACGGCTTCTTATCCAGGAGATAAGGTCTGGCGTCTGTGGAACAAAAACTGGGCACCGAGTGATTGATCCAAGTTGTTTTGAGAAGCTGGTAATGTTGCACCAACGAATCATTACGTACACGAGACACAAGAGTCGAATATCATAGGAGAGAGAGTCCGGAGGTAACCGAAACGGACGGCACTCGGCGCGTTGGGCCAATTGACTTTGATGATGCACATGAATCCTTTGGTGTCGATTTATTGCCGAGTTTGGTCATCGGTGGCGCCAACCGCGTTCTCTGCTCGGCTCAAAATTGCCGATGGGCCTGTCAGAGCGTCCACTAGCACTGATATGTCAGGTGAATACGAATATGCTCTATCACCAGTCAATACCACTCAGTAGCTGTGATGAGACCCAATATTAATAAGGGGAGATTTCACCTGGGGGAGGGTCACGGATGGCTGGGGAAGAGGAGAACCGTCGTGGAGTTAGTGGCAAGCCAATCTTGATCAAGAAAGTCGTATCTCTGTAAAACATGATTGACATTCAGTAAGCGGGGATCAATCAATATTGCTGATCAAATACTGCAAGGGTTAATGCATCATGCATGTGATTGTTGGTGATGAAAGATTTGGACACACGACCAATTGCTGTAACAAGATTTGATGACAGGCACTAATGCAGCTAGCCAGGGGTAATGTGGTGTATAAGCCTCAGATCTAACTCTGATGCCATCCAATGGAACAGCCTCTATAGCTCAGTGGTAGAGCGTTGCACTTGTAATGCAAAGGTCCATCGTTCAATCCGGTGTGGAGGCATTTCTTTATCTTTTGCCATTTTGAGTAAATTGCAATGATCACATCAATTCATTCATTCTCTTTTCACTCATCTCGTATTTAACAATAGACCTTTCGACAAGTTTTTGACGATTCTCAGCTTATGCAACATCTTCGAAGTAATTAGAACAAAGTTTAAGTTTACAGCCACAATGCGCCGAGAGAGTACCTAATAACTCTAATTCATGCGAGGCGCATATAATGTCTCATCTATCTATCTAATGCCTCCATACTCTAATGCATATCTTACAGGGTATACACCAGCTTTCCTCCAGAAACCTTATTCGCTCTCAATTCATCCAAGCCCTTCAGAATACCCTCAAACCCACTCCCGCCGCGGTTGACAAATGTCTGAGGAGCCTTCAGCTTGCCTTCCTCAAGCAGCTGTCGGCTGATCTCCCAGAACTTTTTAGCAAACTCAAACTCATCAGGCTGAGCAGGTGTCTCTTGTCCCTTAAAGAATCGCTCACCAAAGATGGAGTACATGAGCGTTACATAAGGTCCATCCACCTTGGGGTTCACGTCGAGCAACTGCTGCTTATCAACTTGCAGGAGGGTAGCGTATTTGCCTCCCTCGGTACTGATAGCTCCAGCGCTAATGGCGACGCCTTGGGCGGTACAGTCCCAAGCGAGCTTGAGGGTGTTGTTGGTGTACTTGCGGATCTCCTCGGCGACGTTGGCCGACTTGTAATCGAATACAGCCTCGGCTCCGAGGGACTTGAGGTAGTCAAAGTTATGAGGTGAAGCAGTTGTAATAACCCTCAGTCCTGAGAGCTTGGCGAGCTGGATACCGTAAATACCAGTTGCAGTACTGCCGCCATAGATGAGGATAAACTCATCGCTCTTCTTGCCCTCGGTGGGTAGAGGCAGTCCCAGTGTCTTGTAAAGTCCTTGGCCCTGCATTGGTGATCAGCATTTATGGCTTATACTCGTCAGATCAACACTCACCACGGTGGCAATAGAGATACCGAGAGTTGCAGCCTCCTCGTCAGTAACATTGTCGGGGGTCTTAATCTGTACATCTCCCTTCGCTACAATGTACTCGGCAAAGCCACCATTCTCGAGCTGAGTCGCATCACTTGATATGGTTAGATGTTTTAACGTAACGATGCTCGAATACTGACGCTCCATGGACTACACCGCTGATTCGGTCGCCCTTCTTGAAAGACTTGGTGACCTTGGGGCCAACTTCCTCGACGATACCAGCGTAGTCACATCCGATTCTAGAACCAGGTTGAGTGAGGCCAAAGTCGATGTGCTTCCAGTCAGTAGGGTTGAGGCCAACGGCATTGACCTTGACGAGAATATAGTCATCTCGAAGCTTGGGCTTGGGGACCTCCTGGATGGTGGCCTTGCCCTTCTCGACGTATACAATAGCCTTGGTAGTCATGATGTCGGTTTCTGTTGTTGTCAAAGCTGCGGCCCTCTGAGTAAATGATAAGACCTGCTTGATGAATATCATGAAGATAAAGAAGCTATTGAGAACATTTATACCGCTAAATGGCGTTATGATAGTGGAACTTACAATGGTTAGTATGCGTCATTGATTGGCTGCTTAACGCTATCCCCACGGAACGCCGATTACCAATGTATCCTAGCTTGATAATCTGCGTGGACAACGCCGAATTTCGGAATATCTTCTAATCAGTAGTAGGTGAATAATCAACTCCGAAGGACTAATGATATCATGGTGGCATGCAAGTATGGCACTCTTATGTAATAAATCCGAGGGCGATGTGTAAGCATGCTTCCCTACGACCGTGATTAATCTGACTTGGTAGCAATTGCGAAACAAGCGACAAATCTTCTCAAGCTGGTCTTGCCGTCCACATCTTTCTCCGAGCTTGTCAATTGTCCACGTTACCATCAAACGCTTCTTCCTTCTTCCCCTCATCCTCCTGGAGCCAACCTGGCAAGAAAGCCAAATGCCAGCTGCGCCAAGCATTCCACATCACTGATGGTTACATAAGTATCCATACAATGAATCGCTGTTTTGGAAGGATCGAATCCTGCATCAAGAAGTGCTTCTCTCATGTACTTTTCAATGAAAGCCATACCATGAAGCAGCATTGGAAGCGTGCTAATTCTCAACCCTTATACGCGCCATTGAGCATGCTTGATTGCTTCGGTATGCGAGATGTAATTCCAAGCTGAGACCATGCCAATACATCCAGGTCTTAGATTTCGGATGGCTCCCTTCAGGCTAGGTCTCGCACCATCCAAGGATTGAGTGAAGTGGTTGTCAGGGAACTCAAGTGACTGAACACAGGGTGAGTAAGTCAGCTGGCAAAATCAAGTAAAAGCATTGCTTACACTCTCTTTCTTGCAACAGCACATTTTTCGCCAAGACATTTTGTAAACACTGATATCAAATTTACCATAACAGAATGGACGCCTCACCAGAACTCTTCGCCCAGCTTACCAACAGATTGCGTATCTGTTACCAAACCTTCGGCGACCCGTCAGACCCTGCGATCATACTCGTGCCAGGCAATGCGGATTCCATGATAGTATGGGCAGAAGGTCTTATCGAAAAGCTTCAATCTTCCGAAGATGGTAAGAAATACTTCGTGATCCGCTTTGATCCAAGAGACACGGGCCTGTCGACTGAGTTTCCTGTGCCGGGCGGATACTCAATCGGAGATATGGCAGGCGATATGGAAGGACTCGCAGACCACTTGAACCTCAATGATCCCTCAAAAGGCTTCCATATTGTTGGTCTGAGCAAGGGAGGACCGGTCGCCTACACGGTCGCTGCGCGTAGACCCCAGCAAGTTAGAAGCCTGTCGCTTCTGTACACGTCTCCCGGCGTGAGTCCTGAGCTTCAATCAAAGGAGGCCTTGATCTCGGATTCCAACCTATGCTGGCCGGCTTCGGAGATCAGAGGGAAACGGCCATCAAAAATGGAATGACCGTTTATGACGCGCTCACAACGCAGCCTGACGCAGAAGAGAGAAAGGAGGTGGAGAAGGCGGTGAGACGTCTGGTGGAACGGGATATCAAGGGTGGCACATTGTACAGCAAAGCTCCGAATCACGGCGCCGCGTCGTACGAAAAGGATGGCTGGCCAGGGGTTGATACGCTCAAGATGATCAAATGTCCGAGCACGGTTGTGCAAGCAGGCAAGGACCAGATCTTTGGGGAGATTCACGGAGAGGCCTTGGCGAAAGCGATACCCGGTGATGTTGAGTATGTGCTATGGGAGGATGTTGGACATGAGATGCCACGACGCATCTGGGGCAGAATGGCCAAGGTGCTGCAGAAGAATTGGGAGAGGGGTCAAAGCGCATATGTTGTTGGTGATGCGGAATAAAGTGATAGGTTACTGGAAAAAATTATCTTCTTGTGTTACTGCCCAATGAGGGGGAAGTGAAACAGGAGGACCAACAGACCTTAATATTGTTCTTTTGCGTCCGATGCCCCTGTCTATGCACCTACCAACAGAACAATCAAGCCGCAATCTGATAATTGTGAAACATAACAGGCCATTCATAGTATGGCCGGTCGTATTTCCATGACAAGTGTTATTTCCTCCAGTCGAAACACATGAATCAGTGTTAGGCGCTCCACATGATGCGGTCGGTCATTGTGACCTGTCCAACATCTAATGCAGCCAATTGCCCGGAAGCCGTGATGATTCACGGGCTATGAATCATAATCCTGGATATCCATCCGTTTTCATGTGAGTTTGTCAGTGTCTGAACAGTAGTATAAAGGAGGGAGACAGGGACCTTCTCAACCAAACTGAACTATACCTCTCAACATACCTCCAGCAACTTTCGCCAACTGCAAAGTTCCTCAATATGCTGTTCAGTATTATATACGCTGGGCTTTTACTGCCCATTGTTGCAGCCAAGATGTCATATGATGGCTGGAAAGCCTTCTCCATCACCGCTCGCCCGTCCGACAAAAGTATCCCCGACCTTCTTAAAGACATCGATCACGTCTCTCTGAGCTGCGGACAGAACCACGACGTTTTTGAGATTGCCATTCCTCCTAGAAAACTCGATGCCTTTAAGCGTCTTGGCCTGAAAACTACCGTTGTCAGCGATGACATGGGCGCCGAGATCGCCCAGGAGGGAAGCTTTGGACTCTATCAAGGTCAGACAACCCCGTGGTCCTATTAATTATACCATACTGACCGTTGGTAGCTACTGCCAAACGTCCCGGTGGCAATGCAAAGTTGCCCGACAAATCTTACTTCAAGTCCTACCATAGTTTCGAACAGCACTTACAATTTCTGTCCGATCTTCAGGCTGCCTTCTCCAAGAACTCAGAAGTCTTCACAGCCGGCAGGACTGTACAGAATAGAGAGATCCAAGGTATTCATCTCTGGGGTAAAGGCGATAAGGGAAGAAACCCTGCCATCATTTGGCATGCGAACTCGCATGCACGCGAATGGATCAGCGGAATGGTAAAAACCTCTAACTCAGCAGAGGGTTGTAGGATACTAACGCTTGTCACAGACCGCTGAGTACATGGCATGGAAACTTGTCCAAGGCTACCAGAAGAAAGATTCTCTTATTCGAGATACACTAAACAATTACGATTTTTATATCATTCCGATCGCCAACCCCGACGGTGAGTCCTCAAACCTCTCTATGAAACGTTGAACACGGATATTGACTGCTTCATAGGCTTCGTTTACACGATAACTGACGACCGGCTTTGGCGCAAGAACCGTCAGAAGCGGGCTGGCCAGAAGTGCATCGGCACTGACCTCAACCGAAACTGGCCTCATGAGTGGGATATCCCTGGCGGTTCCTCCACCGATACTTGCAACGAGACTTACCGCGGCATGAAAGCTGGCGATACTCCCGAAAATAAAGCTCTCGTTAAGCACACCAAGTCAGTTGCACAGAAGAATAGTATCAAGTCTTACATCGACTTTCATTCTTTCAGCCAGTTGATTCTCCTTCCGTACGGCTACACTTGCGACACCAACATCACCGATATTAACGAACAGATGGAACTTGCTGGTGGCGTTGCAGACGCTATCAAACAGGTCAACAACTTGGACTTCTACTACGGCCCAACATGCCAGACCATCTATCAGACTTCGGGTGGAAGCAGTGACTGGGTTTATGATGTTGCTGGAGCGGAGCTTGCTTGGGGTATGGAGCTTCGGCCTCAGAGGCTGAGGGGTAACGGGTTTGTTCTTCCACCTAAGCAGATTGTTGAGTCTGGTGAGGAGATCTGGGCAGGTATGAGGTATCTTTTTGAGAACTTCTGAGCAAGCAAACTTGGAGACATGGCCCTTGGACTTTCATGAGCAGTGCAGATAGAGAGCAGTCAAATTGCTACGAGGTTGGGACTAGCTACAACCACGATTCCTGACTTCATAAGCAAGGACCCCGATAGTGATCAAATGAAGTGTCGATGATACGCTAAGAGGCAATTTGACAGAATAAGTGACCATTGTGCCGTGTACTGGTCAAGAACTCCAATAAATGCTTTGTCATCAAGCAAATCGGTGAGATGGCCGAGTTGGTTATGGCGCCAGGTTAAGGTCAACCTTAACACCAATTCCTGGTGGAGCAATCCTCCTGGGTTCGAGTCCCAGTCTCATCAAGTTCTTCTTTTTGCATTTCTTTCTTTTTATACCAGATTTCTACTCAAGAAACACGAACTGGCCGCAGTGGCTGTTCCCCTCGACTCCGTCTCCAATTGTTTGAAACTTGAACAAGATCCTTGCACTCTCCAATCAACCACGACCATCTTGCTAAAAAGCTTGGAGTAACTTCCCAGCTCTCACTTAGATGAGGCTCGCCCCATAGGATCATTCCGGCATCTTCTTTAGGGCGATATTCGTGTTCTAGCTTCTTTGGCAGTGGTGTGACGCACGCGGGCGATGGTACCGCTGATGACAGGATATACACAAAATCACCAATCAGATCCTCTAGAAACTGTACGTGATCATATGTGAGTTGCTTTTGAATGAGGTTATCTCGAAGTTCTGGGAATGGTAGGATATCGATCCAGCAAGGATGTGGCGAGTTCATCTGAAGCTGGGTTGGTTCAAGGCGAGTTGGTAGTGGCAGATGGTCTTGGTCAAGAGGTCGAACAACAGCAATGCCGCAGTATGTCTTTGACTGAGGTTGTAATGTTGGAAAGTCGAATGCTACGATGAATTGTGCAAACAGCTTCATCATCCTCTTATTGGTAATGAAGCCTCGGCATACATTGTAGCTGATAAGATGAAGGAGGCGATGGTCATTAGATATGACTACGTTCGTGTTGGAACCGAACTCGTTTGTGGTGACAAGCCGCTGAGATTGGAACTTTTCATGTTCCTCTCGAGACAGCGTCATATCCTTGTTTGAAGCAGTGTTGAGCTCTTCATCGTTGTTTGCGCTGGTACCAATCCTCCAGCGGTCAACTCGATAAGGCCGTTTGCCTGGGCCATTCTTTTCTTCATTATCTCTCCTAATGCGCTCCCCTATGATTCCGATTAGTACCAACGCAGCTCATCGGAGATAAGGTTCCATACTCCGTGCCCTCTGATTCAGTCGGTTCTGTGCCCGCTTACGAGCCTTGCGATCCTGAGCATTGTCGCTAGCCTCCATTGCTCCTGTTAAGGTTCCAATGTGGGTATGCGATGTCTCAAATTACGGGACCAAGTAAGGAAACAGAAGTCATCCATGAACTGAGATATATGCCAGTCTCCTAAAGGAAAAAGACGTCAGCCAGCTGACAAAGGGTTGAACTCCGCCTAACCGCCAAACTCCGACGCTAAGCCCAATCAGGTAGAAACTGTCACCCATGATGCATCATGATCCCATCTAGCGGTCCGGAATTAAGCGGCAATGTTGAAAGCCAAAAGCTTGCCATTGTCGTGCATGCATCACCTGTGAAATTGAGCGATGTGATTGGTGCTTTCAGAATCTAAATCATGTAAGTTTAGTCGCAAGGTCCAACGTTGTTGAAACATGAGGTGACTGTATCAAGTATATAAGCCAACCCTTTGTCTACGAACTTGAGGAATCGGATCCCCTACAAGCTTCTTTCACATCACAATCTTATCCCTCAATATCTATATATCATATTCCAACACAACATGTCTCGATACTCTGCTGCACATGAAAACCCTCAAGGTCCTGGCGACGCCAGACCTACTGCCCTCCAGATCATCAAAGATGAGGGCGTCGAGGGCAAGCTCAAGGGCAAAGTCATGGTCATCACTGGAACTTCTTCTGGTATTGGCATTGAGACCGCCAGAGCTCTTGCAAAAACTGGAGCCAAGTTGTTCTTGACTGCAAGGAATCTGGACAAGGCAAAGAAAGCCTGTGAAGGATTCTTCGATGCCAGTCGAATGGAGTTCATTGAGCTCGACCAGACTTCCTTCGACAGCGTTCGTGCTGCTGCCAAGAATATCTTGGATAAAACCGACAAAATCAATATTCTAATTGAGAATGCCGGCGTCATGGCTGTCCCAGAACTTGAGTTCACGAAAGATGGCCATGAGATGCAGTTCGGAGTCAACTACCTCGCACACTTCTTGTTCTTCGAGCTTCTCAAGCCAGCATTGCTCGCGGCCGTGACTCCCGAGCTTAACTCCCGAGTCGTGGTTCTTGCTTCATCGGCACATCAACATGGCGGTATCAACGACTCCGATAACTATAACTACCAGAAAGGCGGTTACGGACCATGGGTCGCCTATGGTCAGTCCAAGACGGCTGATATCTACCTCGCCAATGAGATAGACCGTCGATATGGTGCTCAAGGCTTACACGCGACAAGTGTTCATCCCGGAGGCATCATGACCGAGCTTGCAAGACATGTTCCCACGGAGCACCTGCAGGCTCTTGCCAGTAGTGACACGGCTAAAAAGATGGTGAAGAACCCGGAGCAGGGAGCTGCGACGACAGTCTGGGCGGCTATCGGCAAGCAGTGGGAAAACGCTGGAGGAAGGTATCTGGAGAACTGTGAGGAGGCCCCTCCAGCTAAGCAGATTGTTCCTCACTTCGGCAAAGGGTATGCGCCACATGCATATGACCCAGAGCGCGAGGCTCGACTTTGGCAGGACGCGCTCAAGATTGTTGGTTTGGCTTGAGGGTTAGACGATGACTACGAGGGTAGATAGTAGAGTCAATTCAACTCGGTGTTGATCATTTCCAGACCGCCATGGTGATCACCTATACTACCTTCACCCCGTTCCATGGGGCGGGCTGTTGCTATAGGAAATGTCGGGGACAGGTACTGCAATACGTAAGACGAAATGTCCTGTACCGCGCAAAGCCATGTCTTAGCTAATATGCACAGTGCTCATTTGGTCAATCAGCCAGCCACCTGAAAGTCTGCTCTCAGGCAACCGAAAAAAACGACTGTCAAACCCCTGTAAGAATGGCTGGTTTGGCGCGCTGTAGCAGGCGACAAATGATGCTCGTTGTTCTGCTAAAAGTTCCATGCATTGGATGCAATCAACTAATTCACAGGGCTTGCAGCCTAGCAACGCACTAAACACACATTCGATAGTGCATCGTCCATGGATCAACGCGCAAAAGCTCAACGGACATCAAAATTACTTGGGGCATGATTTCGATCCTCAATCTGGCCGCGACCGCTTCTTTCATGTGCTTTTCGGTTACTGAGAGTCAAGTAATTACGTATCATAATTGTTTTGTTGAGGCCATGTGAATCTGGCTGGGCATTTGCATCACTCACTGCCAGTCTAGCTCATTTGCCGGCATTCCTGCATTAGTCCGCTGTATCCTTGCACCAAAGGAGGGGAGAGTAAGACATTGTGCTCAGCTCGGATGCGCCGTCTGAGTCATCATGCAGATCTCAGCTCGTTAACAGAGACACAGCATCAATAGATTCGCATGCGCTCTTGGCTTAGACACGGCTCATATGTATAAGAAGATGCCTCTTTCCTTTGGCCTTGAGTGCAACAGATCATCTCCGCAAGCCCTTCTTCTTTGACACGATAGCAAAGTCAATCTAAAATGCTTCCCTCATTTCTGCTCTCATCGCTGCTGTGCCTCTCCACAGTCTCAGCTCTGCCCAACCCAATTCTAGCTGAGAGAGCAGCCTGCGATTGTACCGGCACTCGCGACGGTGGATCCAACTCCAAAGATTACATCTGCCGTGATGCTCGGCTCGGCCCTACGAAGCTTCCAAAGAAGCTCCCGCTGAGCGCAACCGTGGAGAGTTACAATCGCTTCGGTGGCTTTACACCAATTCAATTCCTCCAGACATGGACAGACGAGAAGGGCAACTATAAATACCCTCCGCAGAATGGCTTCCAGCTTGACGCGCATGGTAATGCCATCAACGGCAGCATGGTACTTCAGGTGGGAACTCTCGTGGATCGATTTGGAAGCGAATATGGTAAGTCGCGTAGCCTCAACTCAATTAAGGTCGTCTAACAGCATTTTAGGATCATTCGTCTCTGCTGCCTCTGCTCCCTACTCGCAAAGAGCTCTCCCTCCATCAAACTTGGCCACAAACCCCGATACACCAGACTTCCCATACAACTACCACGTCTACCGGGTCATCAAGCCTCTTACAGTGATTGGAGGACCTATCGCGCCTTGGTTTGGCCAGCCCGGTCTTGGAGCGCAGTTCTTCACTGGCGAAACTGGTAATGTTAAGTTCCTGATTGAGCAAAACTATTTGCAGAAGGAGGATCCGTCAGCTCTTGTTTATAAGTCTGATGGTTGTGCATAATTATCTGGGGCTTAATTGAGGTGGACTTCATGTAATGATCTTACGAGGAATGACTTATGGATATGTTAGTCCATTTGAGTATATAATGTCGACCAGGAATAATAATGTCCCTTTTAAGTGTTCCATTCATCAAAGTCGGCATGCGACACATGAGCGATGTGTTATTGCATTCAGCCATGATGTCTTCAATCGAGGACGGCCAAGGCATCGACGGAGACTTACTTTAAGAAATTAATATTCTTCCGGATATCAGGTTAGTGTTGTAAGCCTTTGAGTCAAGCGGTCACAGGGCAACTGAGGATGCAGCAGCTCGCGGTCCGGATATATGCAGGTTGTCTAATGAGGAACACTCTTGACAGAGAATGCGACGTCGGACGAGACGATCTGTAATATCGCGAGGCTCGCCCACGTGCCCCGCCCCAGTGCTTGAAAAGGCGCGGCAGATATAGCCGGCTCAAGTTCAATATGAAGCAGCTATCGTGTCAACTGCATCAATTGATGTATCTTCAGCCCATCAGGGAATCGTCGCTCTGTCTCCGACACTCTGTCAAATCGCGCCAGGCAATAATTGAGGCTCTGGAAGCCAGACTTTCGTCAACTGGTCAATGATGCTGTGATACTTTCGCTAGAACCAAGCGAAATGAACTCTCCCAGCCACCAAATTTCCAACCGCCATGAATGCCTCAGGTCCAAACCAAATTCTGCCAAACTCTCCCTTTCACCGCCCCGATCTTCAGTATAAATGTCTCGTCAAGCCCGCTCAAGCTACGCTTCTCTTCTTCTTTTCTCCTTAGCTCTCTTTGCCTTTTGGCTTAGATCAAGTGTAGTATCTGTTCTTTTCAGTTTAATCTCTGAAAGATGTCTAAGGACATCAATCGTGATTATTCCTATTTTTGGCCAGCGGACGGCTTCCTCTATGCTTGCATATGATCCCGTCCACAGTGTCCCTAGTATTACACTGCCTCTAGGTGACGCGAACGCGCACTTGTTGAGCTCCATCCTTTTCATTGCTTTCTTGGGCTTGCCTGAGTGGTGAAGAAGAGTGAAAACCTGAATGGATGTGACTAAACGCGTTGAACGCGCATGTTGCTCTGACTCCCGTCGCGCTTCTTAGTTCCGTAGCAATCCAATATTTATGGTTGATCATTTGGCATACAGCGATAGTGTAATTTTGACGTGAATAATAATGTGACGATGAGCTCCGACGTACACCAAACCTCTGGAGGAGAACTTGCTACCTGTGGATCGCTTTGCCGTTGAACTATGAAATGTACGTGGAGTACTTTAATTTGTGCGAACAACCTGTTGGCTTGTGTCTTTCATGGGGGTCGTGGCTATCTTATAAGTCGGTTGATGAACAGCGTTTTGCATGTCTCTGATCAACATTTCACGACGTGAAGGATCTTTCACATAGTAGCGCGTTGCGAATTCAAAGGCAATTTGCTCTTGAGATCATCAAAACATACCAGCATATTATATCGCATTCATCATCTGAGCTTTTCCTCTTATTTGCAACGACAAAGACCATATTTAGGGTAAGAGATCCAGCCAGGCAGCCAGGGTCACATCAGGAGATTACTGGATAACTCCCAGCCAATAAGACCTACACACGTCACGTGGGCTCTCGACATACACAAAAATTTCTTCACCATCAGCAAAAAGACGAGTTTACATACAACAGCGGGGATTCGCTGGTCGTCACCGACCCAACTACTAATCCGCCGGTTAGTGGCTTGACTATGGGAGAGCGGACGGGATCCCGTATTTTCCACTACCTTTGGTCGTATGTGCTTGGTAGACCAGTAACTGCAGCTCATAAAGATAACAGTCCCTTCACTGGCTATTGTTCATCAAGAGACAGCGGTTAACATCTCAGTTTGTGCCAGAACCAATCTGGTCTGGGATCATGTTAAAGACTATAATTCTGAACTCGTACATCTAGAGACGTCATCGTGTTGAGCCTGAAACCAAAACGCGCATAAACGCCATCATCCATCTACATCAGACGATTCACCTCCATCAACATGACATCCCAAGCAAAGAATACAAACACCGGGCCGCGTAACCTTGTTTCTTGAAACAGGGCCACGGGAAAACTCGTCCATCTTGGTCAAAGCTTACATCCATCTCCACCGTGACACGATTCATATTACGATGACATCTTGATCCATGGTTATTGCGATCGAGCGGTTCGCATCTTCCCGCTTCTCTGCTCATCCCAATGCGGTAATAAGCACTCGACCTCTCCGGCTTGGTATCCATAGCAAGTCATCTGAACTCAGCCGTGCCGCAAATATTCTCCTATCTATAGTTATCGTGATGATTGCATGCCGCATTGCCATTATATGCTTAACCAACCTTCCGGGAAGCTACTTTAGTGCGATGCGATCAGCAGGAATTAAACCGGGACGTTTCCCTCTGATAGATGAAAAACCCGTGAAACAGGACGAATTAAAAAGCTAGTTTTCCACGAATAAAACTCTAAATACGCGTTTCGCCAAATGTTTTCGCATACTGTCACTAATAAATCTGAGGCGGCTATGGAGACAGTACCCATCCAATCTGTTTCAGGCAAGATCTCGCCAAGACGTTGCCTTACCCAGGCGGATAATCGGGCTCACGTTCCGATTTTTCTTGGTCATTTTTTGTTCCTGAAACATGACACAGCGAATCGACAGACGGCTCTTCTGTCCGATGGCCGAAAAAACGCAATGGATCTGATGCTACACTGCAGACCGAAATAATGCCAGGCGATACGCCAGCTCTTAAGGCGAGACGCTTGGCTACTACCCCCTTTAATATCGGCCCTCTTGATGTGGCAGTCTATGACGATCATAACTCCCTTTGGGAAACACGGACGCTGATACTCCTTTCGATAGGGCACGAATTCGTCTAGTTCCAGTTTTATCTCCGTTGACCAAAAGGGTCACCTTGTTTTGTGTATAGACTCACAGGAATAGATGCTCCAGCTAGGTATTATAGATCAGACGGCTATATAAACGTGAGATAGTCTTGTCGAGATATTTCCAAATCAGCCTCTCAGCAAGCTTCTGTTCACTTCTCTCCAATCGACCTTTGCACAACAAACTTCTTGTCTTTACCAGTTTTCTAAACCGCAAACATGCACTGCAACCTCTCTCTCGGTGTCGTGGCTGCTCTCCTCGCTGGAGCCAACGCCCACGGTCATGTCGCAAAGGTCATTGCCGGTGGCAAGGAGTACACCGGTGGTATTCCTCACGGTGCTCCCTCTGACGCTGTCGGCTGGGCTGCTGGCAACCAGGACAACGGTTTCGTTTCTCCCGATGCCTTCAAGTCCGCCGACATCATATGCCACAAGAGCGCTAAGCCCGTCTCCAACGCTGTTGTTGTTGCCGCCGGTGATGTTGTCACTCTGAAGTGGGACACCTGGCCCGAGTCTCACCACGGCCCCGTCACTGAGTACCTCGCTCCCGTCAGTGGTGACTTTGCCGGCATCAACAAGCAGAGCCTCCGATGGGTCAAGGTCGCTC